GTGTACTTTTTACTGCACTACATGTACCTGATACCTTCAGGTCCAGAACCAGATGAATCAAACCAAACCCAGTAGAACCATCAGACTCTATTGATCCCAGTAGGAAATCCACCAGCTACCCAGTAGGATGGAAAGTACTTCCCAGTATAAGTATATAAGGTAGTTACCATCAGCTCCACCTTTACCAGCTGCAGCATTAAAGTGATGGACACAGTAATTAGTCACTATGATCCAGTATCAGAGACGTTACTGGGACACAGGCCGTTCTGCTGGACCAGTACTGGTACTCATTACTAAATCAGATTAGTAAATCTGAAATATGCAATGACTATGTTACATAGAAATAACTTAATATGAGCACCATGAGCACCGAGGTGGGGAGAAAGCCACCTGTCATGTTAAGATACACTGATAAAGGACTGGCAGTACATTTATAATCCATCACTCCGGACTTCTGGTGGACCGCACTGGAAACCACGATACAGGTTCTGGTCATTTCAGGTTAATTCAACTTCGAACGTCCAGACCAAGTAAGTGGAATGAATGAACTGCTAAGAGTTCACTCAACACATTCAATGAAGTCTGTACAGAAACTAAACCAGCATACTTCCCAGCATGCATTGGTGCAGAGTTAAAACACTCCAGAAACTCGACTGTGAGCCCGTTCATGGTGGAATCCTTCTCTGGGTTTGTAATATAGGTTTTATTCAATAAAGTCGTCATTTCTCTTCATAATAATGAAAACGGTGCAAACCAGGACCAAGGTCAGTACTGAACTGGGTCCCTGGCCCTTAACACCTCCTGCTGTATTAAACGAGGTCATGTGGAGCAGCCTGACATCAGTCTTGGTACCGACTGTGGTACTGAGTGCACGTCTAAGTTTTTCATGTCAAATGAAGAACTGACAAATAAAATATTACTGGTTTTACTTGAAGATATTAATTGACTTGGGCAACTGATATTACAAATGATTTTAAATTAAGTCAGTGCACTGAAATTAAATGACATTTCTAAATGGAATAATAGGGCAAAGAATTGATATTATAAAAGACTAAGGTGAATAAACTTGGCATTTGGTGTCCTGAACTTAAAAGACGTCAGTTAAATCACGTTCAGTTCAATTCACTCCTTTCAATCGCATATTACTTCATATTTTAGGGCAACTGGTTTTCCCACATTTGAAGTAACTCCTCCGGACTCACGGTGCCGAAGCTGAAAGAAGAACCTGCGTCAAGGGCACAATTAGTCAGGAAGGTCGTGAAGTGATGTGTGACACCTCAGCAGCACCGGGAGCAGCGCACACAGACAGAGGTAAAGTAGAACCGCAGGTAAACACCTGGCAGAGCAGACGGTGAGGCAACTGTGACAAGCATTTATGAACTATGCACGCGCTCCGGCACAACCCCGGTGGCACGGTGTCTGCGCGCTCAGGTAAACCCTCACCGTAACAGCCTTCGGTGCTGTGCTCAGGAACTTTTACACACGACGTGACTTGTTGTGTACTCTACGCAGCGGAGAGACGTCGCCGCTCCCGCCTCCGTGCACGCTGCCCACAGTTACACACCTTGCTGCAGCTTTCAGCGCCTTGGCTGCACATGAAGACAAAGTCACGTTTGTGCAGCGACTAATGGCTGTGAGCAGCCTCTGCGCACACTCCACTTCTAGTGGAAAGAAACGTGCACAGTGTTCCGACGCTGCTGACAGTGCACGGAAACAGGGTCGTTATGATGAAACCGTGGTTTATTTCCCTGCAGGAAACAGAGGCACAACACAACACACATGAAGAGTCGGGCCTGGCTTCGTGTCCAGTGTCACGGTGCGTTCCTGACGTGTCTGCTGGAAACCACGAGGCCGCTCCGCTTTGTTATTTAAAAAGACTTACAAATATATAAAAACTAAATAAATAAATGCATCTTAGGCTAGATTATAATTTTTATTCTATTTTAAACGTCACATTTTCTATTTTAAATACTGAGGTTATTATTAGTCATGATTATTATTACTAATAGTATTATAGTGGAATCCAACACAAACCGCCCTCATGCTGGGTCACGTCCCAGGTGTTGAGAAACTCGGAACAAATTAAAATAGTAATAAATAATGAGTTGTAGTGTTCGCGCCGGGCCAGGAGACTCTCCAGCTCAGTGGTTCTCCTTGCTGATGATGATGATGATGATGATGATGATGATGATGATGATGATGATGATGATGATGATGATTTCATTAACGTTACATTTACACCTTGTTAATAGAACGTGATTATTTCTCTGCGGTGACGCCGCCGTGAAAACTCGGCTGATGCTGACGTTTCCGCCGCTGCTCCGTTTCCTCACGTGTCATTACATGATGATAAAGATCTGCTCCATGCAGGCCTGTAATCGGACTGGAGAATCGCCTCTGCGCGCAGGAAAATGCATCGAAAGCTGCAAAAACAACAACGACGACACCAGATAATTCTAATTGTTCCGGTGAGCTCGTCTGATGTTTCTCTTCCAGCTGTGAACATCTGCTCTGAATCACAAATATGCTTAGTTTGAAATGTCTTTAAAAGCAGAAGGCTGCTTGCTGCAGCCTGGTGGAGGCCTGAAGTTCAAGCCCCACCGGGGCCCTGCCACCGAGCCGGAGCCTCTGCGGTGACGCAACGACGGAAACGGAGTCGTCTCCACTTGAAACACAGGGGCCCTGGGGTGTTGCTGCAAATTAGATTTTCCTCCTCGCACAGCCAGACTGATGTAGCTGTTTAAATAAAGTTCTAATTAACATTTCACATGAATCAACTGGAGTGCGCGCGTTTCGTTCGGATTTAGGAGAAAACACCTGCATTGAAACGTGTAAAACGAGGTTTGGCTCCAGGTTCGTCTGTGGCCGTTTTTATGCACTTGTTTAAAGTTACTCACGGCGTTCGTGCACGCTCCACCTTCATTCAATGAGAACAGCAATGGGAGCTCCGCGGACACATTAACTGAATTATAAGAGACAAAATTATTAGAGACACGTCGACGCTGGAGAAGCGACGGAATCAGCGGGAGGCCTCCGACACTGCTTCACCCTGCAGCAGAAAACCAGAAATCATCCCTCCAGCCTGAAAGGGCTGCACGTTTAATACACACACACACACGTTTGGGAAAAAAAAAAAGTTAAAATGACTCATGTGTTGGTGGAGGCGGAGGTTTCCTCACAATACGGGAGAAGCGTTAATGATGATGATGATGAGAACTGAGAGAAGGTCGGTAAAAAGCGCTCCAGTTTAAAAACCTGTACAACCACGCAGACTAAATTATCTCCTAATATTAATGGTGTTGTTACAGAACCTGCATCGCAAACAACCAGCAGGGACTTTGCTTCTTGCAGAAACAAATTCTCCGATAACAGACCAATAATTTAATTCATCCTAAGTCTGACTCAGTCTGCAAACTGTCACTCAAATCCTGCAGACCAACTGTGCACGGCCCCACTTCTCGGCCTTTTTTATTAAATATAAATGGTGATTATTGGAGGCACACCGACATCAGGCCGAAGTGGAGAAAACCCCAGAGCAGTCGAATGAAAGAACACAGAACATCGTGGTATCTCTTGGTCCTGATCTTGTTGCAGCAAAGACACAGATAAAAAAACTAAACATATCAACTGAACAAGCAGATAAAACCCGCAACGCCACTGAACTGGAAGCTGCTAAAACCCCGCCGCAGTGAAACAGGCACAGAGAGAGAGACGCCGCAGTCTGAAGGCTACTTGACGGGCCCTGCGCCCCCTCCCTCCTCCCCGGCTCACCTTGGAAGCGGTGTCCCAGGTAGCGGCTCCGCAGCACGCCCGCCGGGGCTCTGCGTGTGCGTCCCGGGCTCTTGGAGCACCATGTCCGTCCCGGCCGAGTACAACGTCCTCCCGCTGCTCCCTTGGAAGCAAGAGCCGAAGACCCCGGCGGCGGCGGGGTGCAGGGACTCCGGGAACCTGAGCGCTGTTGGCCGAATGGGCTCGTCCCCGGAGCCGCCGCTGCTGTTCGCCTCCTTCCCGACCAGAGACTCTATGGTGAAGCATTTCTTGTTGCTGTGCTGGAACATTGTAAGCACCTGGAGCCGAGTGACGAGGAAGATGGTGGAGATGTGAACCAGTCAGCGTCCAGTGAGTCCAGTTCCTCGGGCTCGGGGAGCTCAGACTCGCAGCTTCCCCCGGAGAGCCATAACTCTCCACGAGTCCGCGTGTGCGCAGATCCTGATTTGTGCACCTGGCAGCCGATGAAGTTTCCTCTCACCTGTGTCCGGGGCGGTGTCTCTGCCCGCTGTCGGCTCCGCTGCGGCCACTTCGTGCAGGATGAAAACCAGACAAACTCCTGTCAAAGTGCAGCGCAGCTCCTCCGAGCAGCAGCCGGGTATGAGCAGAGGGCGGAGGGCTGCGGGGCGCTGAGTAGTCGGTGTCTCCTCACGCTGTGTGCCGCCACATGCTGGAGTCTGAGCCGAGCCGGGAGTGCGCGTCAGACTACAGGCTGCACACAGATACCTGCCCTGCCCTCCCTGCCAGAGGTGTGCTGAGCATGCGCAATAGAAACCGCTCCGACAGCCATTTTGTTGATCGAGTGGATGAGGAGAAAAGAGGAGGAGGGTCCTGGAGGAGGAGGATGATGTTGACTGACAGTGATGAGGAGGATGAAGATGGCGACGATCAGAATGAACGGATGACAAATAAAGATCATTACGGTGAATTTGCTGCAGTGCAGAATTGGTCTCCAGCTGTAAAGTGTAAAGCATCAGAGGATCGAAAAGCTGCTTCACGTTACTGACATGAAGAGAACCGGAACCCGGGAGTTCGACCAGAGCATGTGGGGGTTTCTCTGGCAGCCCCAGGGCCCCGGTACCCGGTACCCTCCGCCCCCAGTCCTGTGTTCGTTTGTGCTCATTTAACACAACTTTACTGGGACTGTGCAACACGTGAGCACAACAATGACATAATAATGCGTGACACACATTAGTTGTAACTGAGCTGCAAAAACTCCGAGAAATATGCAAATAATGGGATTACAAAAAACCAACTGACACGCTATGACCCTGCACTGGTGTGTGTGTGTGAGATCCACAACGGAAATCATAAGTCCGATTTACTGCTTGTATTTGCTGTACTGTTATTTTTAATCGTTCTATTCATTTAATCCGTTGATAATTAGATGAGTGATGATGTAGAGCAGTGGTCCCCAACCTTTTTATCACTGCGGACCGGTCAACGCTTGACAATTTTTTACCGCGGCCCGGGGGGGGGGGGGGGGCGAAATTTTAACTCTCCATAACGCTAAATCAATGGGAGCCCTGAGCTTGTTTCTCTGCAACGAGACGGTCCCATGTGGGGGTAATAGGAGACAATGACACCCGAAGTGTGTTGCTTATGTTCAGTCTACTCCGTTGTTTTGTTTTGGTTGCTGTCACTGCAGAAAAACCCGCTTCACACAGATAGGATGTCGGAAATGGCAACAGGGTTTTCAGTGCTGTGGTGGCGATCTCAGGGTATTCTGTCATGACTTTAATCCAGGACACCGACAGAGTTGTTGTCTCGAACATACTTTTAAGGCCGCCGTCATTTGCGATCTCCAGCAGTTGATCTTCTTCTTGCACAGACCTGCTGGATTCACCTGGTTTGTTGACAAATGGGTTGCGGATCCATTCCTTGGCAGTTCGTGGGTCCTTTGTGGTTGGGAAGTAGCGCTCGAACTCTTTTAAAAGCAAAGACAGGTGATCGTGCACCAGCTGGGAGAATGAAGACTCAGGCTCAGTCTCACCCAAAGTCTCATGTTTGAAACATGTCCAAAATGCCTCTGTTGACGCGCCGTCCCCACAAATCCAGTTTGGCTTTAAATGCAGCTACTTTATCTGCCAACTTGAAGACAGTTGTCATTTTCCCCTGAAGTGACAGATTGAGTTCATTGAGCAGGCTGAATATGTCGCACAAGTAAGCCAGTTTTGGCGCTCAAGTGACCGAGATGTAACCGAGAGAATGCGGTCATTTTTCAAAATAAAAGATCGTTCAGACTCAGATAATAAATAAAACGGAAATAATTAATAATTTCTTGTACGGCCCGGTACCAATTGATCCACGGACCGGTACCGGTCCGCGGCCCGGGGGTTGGGGACCACTGATGTAGAGGACGGTGAAGCTGTTCTAAAGTGACTGAACCAAAGTGGCCTGGGTTACCGACGGGTTAACCCTAACCCTTCTCCCTAACCCTGGGTTACCGACGCCCAGACTCCAAATCTTGGGTCTTAATCATTTTAAAATCATTTTAGTTCATGGCTCATCTGAGCAGAACATCAGGCCCAGCTCGTTGTCTTCATCACAGGAGAGCTGCAGGGTTTCACCATCAATACATCAGAGACTGGTTCTAATAATCAATTGATCCGTGTATTAAATATCAGGAAATTGTGGTCATGAAAAACAATTAGTAAGAATTTATTTATTTAAGAAAATAACAAGCAGATTTTTTTCAAATCACAGAAAACATCAAAACATGTGAAGACATTTGAGAAGCTGTACGGAGATTTGGGGGATTGTTGCTCCAATAAATGATGTAAATAATTAGTCACAGGGCTTTGGGATGACTTATGTGTCAGTGGAGCGATGCTGTGTGTAGGACACACAACCTCCTAAAGGACTCATCTCATATTTAGTTTGAGCTTCTGCCCTGGGTGCAGGTCAGGACAGCACAACAGGGGTCCCGGTTCCGTCCCAGTGCCATGACCGAATGCTCCATTAAAACCAGACAGGCTAAGTGGTATCACTGGGAGCTGTGGTGAGAGGCTTGTTTAACAACTCAGTCCTATACACATATATACACACACACACACACACACGTTAATAGTCGTTTCTTTTTATTCCCGTTTTTTGGAGAGTTTTCTCTTTTAAAGATCAGGGGGGGGGGGGGGTCCAGCCAAACACAGTGAAGAACAAACCGTTCACATGCTGTTGTTTTGTCCTGTGTCTCCAAATGGGGCCCTGCATCACTAATCACTCAGATAACCCTGACAACATGTACCTACAGCAAGCCCCCCCCTCACCTGGAATGTCCTGGAACACCCTTGGATTTGGGGAACATCAGGGGCCTTGATAAAGAATCTGGGATGGTTGGAAAAAAAATAAAACAACCAAAACAATGTAACAGGAATAGAAAAGACTGAGACTAACAGAAATATAACAGGATGTGTTTTACTAGTTTAGAGAATGAATTCTATTCTGGTTTAGATTTTTCCTCGGTGTTTTAATGAGGCTTTGCTTTGCCTGCCTCTGTGTTTGGATTGCGCCGCATGAATAAATCCTTACAGTGGCTTCCCAACAACACTGAGACTGAACCAAACAGGAGTCTAAACAACGAGCTGACACTCTGGGTGAAGCTCCGTACAGCCGAGAGGAGCTGCACATTCAGCGGGCGACTCTCTGCAGCTTCATCACACATTCACCTAAAAGTGTCCAGTGCAGCCCGTTTAACAACGGGAGAGATGAGGCCGGTGGATAAACTGGGCAGAGTGAGTTCAGTCGCAGCACGAGTGAGCGCGGTGAGAACAGAAAACACCTCGCTGAGATTCACACGTCCAGAATCAGATAAAAGCGGAAGGTTTCCTCTGACCTTTGACCCCTGGGGTCAGTTGTCTTGTTCTGTCAGTTGACGCGTTGCTCACAGACGTTAGAGAAGTTCCAGGCTGAGTGACCAATAAAAGAACCTCACAACGTTTCACTGCAGTGTCGTCTCGTTGTCTTTGACACATTTTACCACGACTCCAATTCGTTTACTGAACATAATTATATGAAGTATTTTATACAAATACTGCACAAACATGACATATACACACTAAGCATGTCTGGCATTTTTGATTTATGGTGAAAATGTATCAAAAACTATAGTGTTTTAGATTCATCTGTGAAAATGTATCAAAAACTATAGTGTTTTAGATTCATCGGTGAAAATGTCAAACGTTCAGTTCCTCTGTCTCTGGCCACAGTAAAGCGAACTTCTCAGGACTGTGGCTCCAATGAAGTGAAGACAGCTGAAGCAGTGGAAACTGTGATGGACAGTTTCCACTATTATCATTATTATTATTTTATAGAAACATTATGTAAATAATGACTAGTTCACCACAGCCTCAATGATTCATGGTCTAACTCGACTTCTGTGGCGAGCCTGACCTGAACCATCGCTGGTCTTCTCTCTGTAAGAACTGTCGCTTTGCTCCTCACCGTACTGTCAGATATGACTCGTATATGGATTAGTGAGCAGGCCTGCCAGATACAGCACGACAACAAAGACCCAAAACAGCACAAAATAGAATTTCCCCACTGTGGGATCAATAAAGTTCTACCTTAAAATGAGAGATACACGACGGGTCCACAGATGGAAAGCCAGCACAAGGAGACAAAACCAGCCATAAAAACACCAAAGCACAACCCAAAAGGACACAAATGACCACAAAAAGATGTAAGATTAGGTCACACACAGTGACTGAAGAGACAGAAACAAGAAGACTCAAAATAACCTCAAAGAGACTAAATGAGTGAAATTACACAAAAGAAAAATAGACACAAAACAACAAAATAATTTTTAAACAAAGCCCCACAATAACACACACAGAGAAGTAAAATTAGACACAAAACCAACACAAATACAAAATGACCACAATGTAAAGAGACAGAAAAATCTAGACACAAAAAACCAGACTCAAACCCACCAGAGACACAAACTGATGACAGACAGCTGATCTGTGGGTCTGGTGGGCCGAGGGGCCTTCGGCGTACCTGTGCCCAGGGGCCCGTTGTCTCATATCTGTCTAGGATGTAACTAAAGATGGACACCAGAATGTTCCAGATCGTCTGTCTGACTAGTCTGAGGCTCAGCAGAGCACCACGTCCAGGCCGCTCGTCGTTTTTCTGACTCGTGGCCATGTCACCTCTCACACCCCACTGGGCCATCAGACTTGACCCGTGCAGCCTGGACTCTAGGCCCTTCCTGTGCAGCTCTGGGACCTGGGGGACAAATGCCAGCCTATTCAGGGGCCTCTAATTGTGGCCCAGGACGCTCCACAAAGGCCCCCTGCCTCCTCCTTCAATGGGCTGCCCTGTGGAGGCCCGTGTGAACCACAGAGCCCTTTTTCCTCCCCATCCTGCCTCAGTATGTTGGCCTCTGCCCCCCGCTCCCCCCGCCCCCTCACATGTTAATTAATAGACCTTACTGGCAGATTTGGAGCCCGCTCGGCTTTGATTGAAGGCAGCCATTAGCATCTATTAATTTTGCCTCTGGCGTTTTATCGCCGGCTCTGAAAGGAGGAATTAAGTGGTGCGAGTCATTGTGAGGGCTCAGAGTGTGAAGCTGAGTTAAAACGTGATTATTGTCCCTGCAGCCTGGAGCCAGCTAACTGCTGCTAAGCCCTCTTGAAAGTGAAGGGGCGACTCTTCTCATTAGAGCCCAACAAGGGAAAGATATTAACAGGAAATAACTGCAAATTTATTTTTTCCACTTCTAATCTCTGCTCTTTATGTTGCACATGAAAAGGGCACTTAAAATGTAAAGGGGGGGTGGAGCGAGAGCGACGTGGCTAAACAGTGACGGTGATGATACAGTAGTCCAGCCAAGGGATGTCACCTCACAGCTTCCTCTGGGTCTTTCAAAAGATCCAGACTTAATTGGAGGAGCAGCTGCAGGAAGGTGAACCACGGCTGCAGCGCTGCTCCACAAAGACCGAGCTGCAGACAGAAGGGTGTGAAGTTCTCAGGCTGACCAGTGCGTAGCTAATGAACAGGGTGGAAGGCTTCAGTTTTCTCAGGCTTATTGCTGTATAACATCTATAACACCTTAACAAGACTGTGTCTGAAATCTCAGTCCCTACATCACAGACAGTGAAAGCCTCAATCCTGCGCACTGAGAGCTGAGGAGCCACACTGTGGAACACGCAGGAATTTAGCAGAATCAGCCCTTAATATCTTTGGACTTGAAGTGATGGATAAACGGCTGAAGCTCTAGTTAAGTCAAGTTTCTCTCCAAAATTTTTTTTTACAGATTTCCCAGCATGCACTGGTTGAGAGTCATCTCTCGTAGAGAACATGATGCTAAGAGAAGTCCTGGTCATTTCTTATAATAGAAACAGTCATTAAAAAACCAGTGCTAACTACTGACTCCAGTCCTGCGTGCATTGGCTTTCAACCAAGTCTCAGCAGCAGCTCTGCACATCTTCGGACTGACCCCAGAGTTTTGTTTCACTCTCTGCCCTTATCTAATATGAGACTCATCCACTGACTGACACAGATTTCCTCACCCTTCTGTCCTCCTTTTCCTCTCCATGACTGTTGCTCATTCACCCATTCATCCTCTTCACACGCTCACTCCGCTCTCTGCCTCAGGTGTTTCCAGGTGGCTGTGAAGTGCCATGGGAACACTGTGACATGTCAGCAGAGGCTGTGACCCATAGCTAACACACAGGGATCGCCTGAGCTTGTCCAGCAGCCTCTGACGTGCTGATGCCTTTACATCCGCTCTCACACACACTTAGAGCTGAGCTTTGTAAACAGCAGGTCGAGGGTGGTTAGAGTCTGGGTCACACACACACACACACACACACACACCTGTACTCCCGTACCTGTGAGGCAGTGATGTCACAGCTCAGGTCCAAGTTCCTTGTCATCAACTTAAAGAATAAGGCTGGTGATTTTTTTAAAGTTTTTATTTTCCACAGATCTCCATCTATCAGGGCACCCCCCAGCCTGGTTCTTTAATTTTCCAAAACTGTTATCTCATAGTTAATACTGTTTTAAACATATTATGAATAGATTCCCACTGGGACTGGGGTGTTTGTGTCACAGGAGCGCCCCCTGCTGGGATATCTGTTAAGTATAAACACAATCTAGTCATATTAGGTTTAAATGTGTTCCAAAGTGCAGATGGTTAGTATTCTAACTGTACACTATGGTGATTAGTATGTAAGGGACCGAAGAAAAATGTAACAGAGAGCTGGGACGAATGGTAGCAAAGCACAGCTGAGGCTGATGGGAATACCATAGGATTCTGCTGGTGTTCGGCCATCAACCAAAGTGCTGGACAGACCAGATAAGAAGTGAGAATGACTGAAGCAGGATTCATTCTGAGGGCAACATGACTGACAATCCATCCAACACTTGTTGAGTTAGTTCAGTCTGATAAATTGTCTCTGTGGTTTTCTTAAGCAGACTTACTGAAATAAAGTTGGACTACATAGAAAATACACAAACATCTCTAGAAAGAGGCATCTGGATACTTTTGGCCTAAAATGCCAATGCTTGTGACGCCCTCTGTTTGCAGGCTGCAGCGACCCCCGGAGGCCAATGACAGATTTTTACTCTCACAATATCAAGTCTGTTGTGATTTTCTGAAAATGATCCCACTTTGTTGCCATGTGTTGTAATAATGAGTCTGTGTCAGTGTATTTTCAGCAGGGTGTCAGAGCTACGGACAGCACAGCGTCCTTCACATGCTAATTAGACCCAACTGATAGAAACAAAGACAGAAGGTCAGAGTTCACTGTTCTCTGCACTCCAAGGGCCCGTGTGAACATCATCTGAAGTAACACTTCACTTAACAGTGGATGGTAGAAACACGGGCCAGAAGCTCTGGTGAAAAGTCAAGTCGATGGATGGTGGCTGCTGTTTGTCCTGTAAGACAAAGGTCAAAAGCTGAATGCTAACAGCAGCCATGTGTGCTGACCACAGTCTGGACACAAAGACAAACTGTGCAGCAGCAGGACCCCTAACAGCTCTCTTCTGCTCTCTGTTGGCCACATGTTTGTATTACACAACTACAATGGCACTAGGCCACGTTTCTCATAGCTGACATGGAATTTGCTTTATTTGCTCCTTGATCATTGTTTAGTGCCCCAACAAACAAACAAACCATTTCTCTAGGCCTCAGTTGGAAGAAGGCAAATGTCTGTGCAGAAGTTTACAAAGTGTGATGACAAGACGTTTACCTGATTTCTGTATCCCAGTTTGCACACCACTGTCTATATTGTTTTTACAGTGTATAGAAAACACCGCTATGTATTTTGGGCTTAATAAAGGCACTGAACGTTCAAAGTCCTTCAGTCTGCTTTTTTTAAAGAAAATGTGTGCAATATTTTAACAAAAGTTATTAATCTATAAAACTATGTTTCGGGACTTTGGAGCCTCTTCAGTGAAAAACATACATTATACTTATCAGTTTTAGTTGCAGCTTTTTATTTTGTCAAACCAAAAACAAAAAAGGAAAATGCTTGATTGTACCTAAAACACGCTGAAAACCAACTGCTGGACTTGAATCCAACCATAAACAGATAAAACATCTTTATAGTACAAAGCTGAGGAAATTCAAACTGTACCATATGGAGAAAAATCTCTCTCCTACAAACTGGTGTAGAATTCTTGGCAAAGTGCTAGTGCATAATGAGAGTTGTCAAACCACTGATTTTTTTGTCAATTACAAACCTATAATTCCCACAAACTCCCACGTTCACAAAAAGAGAAGTATCTATACCAAATGGACAGAATGGCAAATCCTTTCACATGTTTAAAAAGCAACAAAATATATCAAGTTTTCAAGCTTTTTAAAGGCAAGAAGTATACCGTGATTATTGCGTGGTGTTTATCAAGTAGTAGTGGATGAAAATTTAAAATCAACAGACCATGGGAAACTCTGATGGTAAACATACTGTATCTGTCAGTGGGCAACAAGACTAAAGGCCTCGGTCACAGCAGCAACAATAAACCATCCTCTGCTAAGTAAACCCATGGAAAGACTTTGTAGACAGGTTAACATGCAACCTGGCACCACTGTTAGTTTCTAACTGAGGTACCTAAACTTAGTGGGAACCAAGCCTACAAGTCCAAAATGCACTGAGCTATTATATCCGCTGACCATCATCCTAAAATGTCACATGACTGGCTCTGGTGGAGAAGAAACTGCTCCACAAACAGATGCAGCACAGCAAACACGAGTCCATGGTAGAAAAATAGACTTTTTAAAATGAGGTCATGTCGCATAAACTGTATTTGGTGGCAAATACTGTTAGCATCAATGGCTAACTTAGTGAAAAGAACCACAGAAGAATGAACAAACTGTTCTTGCCTCGGCTTTTCAGACCCCCGTCTTAAGCGCCAAAACGTGATATTTTAGAAACCTCTTAGATGCCAGCTTAACTATAGTACTTATAAGTGGGAAACGTAATACTCATGCTCCAATATAACACAGCTGGTTACAAGCCAGCTAGCTTGATGATTTTTGGTAGCTAGCGTGTTACGTTAGCAGGCCAGAGGATTGAATGCTTATAACACAGCTGCAGACAAAACCGTTTGTGTAAAACCATTTTAAAACAATACTGTACTTGTAATATGTTTACTACTAGCTCAACTAAACCCTGGATTCAACTTTTACCACTCTAAACTGTACTGGAGCTGTGCTAACATTAGCATGTTCACACAAACTTTACTAACTGCTTGACATAGACATGCTAACATTTAACACAGTTGGATGTTAAGAGACTCATAGTTGACATGAATTGCATGTAAATAGATAATTTAACATATTAAAATGTTAGCATGTCAACCTTGGCCTACAAGCAGTGAGGCTAACATGACTCCTGTCATTAGCTCTAGAGATAGCCCTATGTGCTGCATGCTTGCTTAGTTTTACTAAATAAAACTCAAAAGTAAATGGTTTTTTTGTGATTCTGAGGCTTAAACACTTTCAAAACCCCAAAATACTAAGGGCACAGTGTGGCAGATTTCTCAGCTGCCAAATACTCTACAGTCACATTTGGCATTTACCTACCTAAATCTGTTTTGTGGCACTTAACCTGACACCAAACCTACTTTAACCAGTTACCAGCGACTATTTCTGAGCCTTGGTGTCTAACATTTACTGTGAACCTTTTAGGTCATTCCTCAAGCTGGAGCACACTTCCACTTCCCAAAATAAGACTTCGTTCAAATTCAATAATCTGTGCATAATCATTTCTCAGTAAAGTTATGTGCTTGCAGAAAGTAGTTTACTGTGGTCAAATTGGGCACTTGGTACTGAGACACAAATATTCTTCAGTATGTTCTAGTCTGCTACCAAGCTAAGTAACTGGCAGTTAGCAAACCAGCTAGCTTGGTTTGCCACTAGCTGCTGGTTTTCCAGATGTAAACCTGTTTAACTGCATGTATTACTAGTAAGGGTTCAGGGGAAACAAACAGGAAGGTGTTCACTTGTGTTTTATGCTACTGGCTGACGAGCATTTTACCACTTAGCTCACTGGTCCACTAAGCCTGCAAGAAGTCACAAGTTCACTACTGAATGACTTTGCCAAGCATTTATGGAGCTGCCACACTGCTCTGTCCATCGTTTTGTTTTCTAATTAATTCAACAAAGCAAAACTTTCCTTTGGCTGAACTGGATTTGCAGAACATTCAACTGTTCCAACATACGACAATGTGTCAGTCAACAGTCTCTCCTCATTGCACAAAGAATAAAAGCAAAACCTATATAAACAGACAGCAGATCAGTGTAGTTACCCCTTTACCCGGGATAATCTGAGGTCCAAACTGTTGTCTGGCTCAGTGCAGTATTTACACACAAGATGCACTGTGTTGTTCTGTAGTAAATCTGCTCAACTGCAGGTAAGAACAACAGTTACCAGTGGACACAGTGAACGTCTTTCTGTTGTTCAGCACTGATGTAGCCAGGCTTCAGCTTAGAGCCTTCAGCGACCTGCTGGTGGCTGGTAGGACATGAAGCGGTAAACCAGGCAATTAACAGTAAAACACAGAGCTTCTATGTACATGGACGACGCACAGGATCCACAGTCAGGCTCATGTGATCACAGTCATCTCGGTGTGATCTCCTGCACCATAGCAGGCAGGTGGATGGTCGGGCACGCGTCTCGGTGTCGCAGTTTGAACATCAGCTGTTCTTTTTCCTGAGAAAGCTTCTGGTTTACTGTTGCCTGCTTCTCCAGCGCCACCTTCAGGTCCTGCTGCTCCTTTGACAGCTGCCTGAAAACAAAAGGAAGTTAAAATCATTGCTTGGGATCAACAACAAAAAAACCAAAACAAAAAAAAAACTGCGTTTTGTATGCATTTGAGTTTTATCTATGTGCAGTCTATTAAGCATTTAGATTTGCCTTTGTGTATGAAAATATGCTATATAAAACTATTTTGTGGCACTACACCAGGTTCATCGGGATCTTCTTTACATTTTGTCAACATCAGGCAGCAATTTAAGCCTTTCATATACCTTTATCCTTTTCTGAGAGATAGAGAGAACTGAAGACCCGCAGATACCCTAACAATGCACTGGTAATGAGATCCATTTGTGTTTTGAGGCTTTAGGAATCAAGGTCACAGAGTTTTGAACAGGTACAAGCATCATCTCTCGGCTGCAGAATGTTTCATTGTTAGCACAGGAGGCAGAAACAGGTCGTTACTTTATTGATGATGTCTTTGAAGCATAGAAAATTATGATTTTATTTCTTCCTAGGACATTAGTATCATTATATTGCTTCTCGTTTTCACCGTGACTATTTGTTAATTGATTGAATTAACAGATCTATCATCCTAGTGCTACTGGTGTTTGCTCTCTCAGTTTGTTCCATATGCTGAAGCACCTACTGAATGAGTGTCTGGGAGTTGTCTAGTCGGACTCTCAGATCTTCGTTCTGCTGCAGGATGTGAACAATCTGATCCTCCAAAGACACATTCTTCTCTACCTGAGAACAGGAGACACGATGAAAGGACAAGGTGAAGAATGAGGAGGAAGAGGAGGTAAAAATCGAAGGGGGGCATCCTATTCTATACACACAAGAAATTTGCTTTGCAGATGAAAACAGGTGAAGTGAAAGTCACAACAGAGAGAGCACCTGGACAGACCATAATGAAAAAGCAACCAGCAAATCACATGCGGACGTCAGTTTACCAGAGCGTCCATCTGCTGCAGCTTCCTGCTCTGCTCCTGCACACGCTCACTCTTCATCTCGATGACAAACACCAGAGACTCCTGCTCCAACTCCCAGAATGCACCTGGGCTGCCGTGGGTCTACACAGTACACGTGAGGGGGCAGAGTGAAGAAGAAGTCTTCACATGAAAGACTGTCGTGCAAAATGACTGCATTTCCACCTGGAGCTACTTGTATTTCATTGCAGCTCTATGATGTCACTCATACACTTCAGAGGGCAGTATTGTGCTTTTACTCCACTGGTTAACATGCAGATTGTGCACAGAAACTTATCAGGACTGTACAAAATATGGTGTGCTGTTGTAGATTAACTACACTCTGGTACATTACGTGGTTGAAACCCACTCCACATGGACCAGAGGCTACAATTCTGTGACAAGAGCCGTTCAGAATAAAACTTTATAAGCACATTTTGTTGGTACTTTCACATCAGAAACATATGAAATGAAGGTTTATACTGATTTAGATCAATCACTAATATTATCTCATTTAATTATTTTCTGGGAGTGTCAGGTCAGCAGGTCACAGCAGCAACTTTCCCACCGAATCCACAACTCATTCATGCTGCTCAGCTCACTGTCAGAACAGACCCCCAAAGGGGATTAAATATCTACCCTGAACCTTTGTTTTAGTAACTGAAGTTGGCTGCAAACGTTGAAATGAGAACCCTGATCTAATCTCCATGCCCGACACACACACACCTGTATGTTTCTCTGCAGGTCTTTCTTAAATGTCGATTCTTCGACTCTCCTCTTCAGCTCTTTGTAAACCTGCAGCTCTGCCGTCACCTCCTCCACTTTATTCTTCATTTACAGCAGAAATAAGCCAAAACATAAGAAGAAAACCAGCAGGCAACATGAACACATCTGCATCTTCAGGTCAGAACTGCTGCTGTTGTTCCTCGTCTTTCCTCTAGGTGGGGGAAGCAACTGTAACAGACGAGAGCACACATTCTTACCGTGAGGACTTTCTCAGCTGCCTCAAATGCTGCTGTCAGTTGGGTTTTCTCCTCTTCGTGTGTCTTCTGCAGCTCTGCAGGAAACGAGACAAACTCAGACCCAAATCACATGAGAAACACTGCAACATGAAGCACATTAGTAGTTACTGTGGGGGGTGTACAGAACACTTCCATGGACACATTTAAATTCACACACACCGCAAGAAATTAAGTTCTCTATAATAACGAACAGTTTTACTTATGTGTTCATATGTTATTCTACATTTACATCTACAGCTGAAAACCAAACATTTCTCGAAGCTGATTTTAAATATTGATCCTCTGTGTGGGGGGGCCTGTTTACAATCTCCACTATCACACTCGAGTTCCATCAGTCGACACCAGGCCATCTGTGGAGTCAGGCCTCCAGTCGAAGCAAAACAAACATATATAGTGCTTTTCTGTTCATGTGAAACTTTTCATTGACTGCTAAGAACATCTGGAAAGTTGGTGGTGAAAAATACAACTAAGCCAAAGTTTTACACACAGAAGAGAAAGGGCTTGTTGATCACCCACTAAATGGGAGCTGGTACTGGGACAGCATGACAACTCATTAAACAAATGCACTCAGTGGTCAGTTTATTAGGAACCCCTGTGTCAGACTGAGTCAGTCTGATCCAGTGATCCTGCAGTGAACCTTCCCTGATGAAGGTGATGTCGTCCAGTCTGTGTGCAGGCCGTTTCACCACTGGGAGAGGTGATGGCTAAGAAGGCTGCAGTTTGTGGTTTTGCTGCATGGCGCTGTGTACTAGGGTGTTTCTAACATTTTGTCCACGCCATTTCTATCAGTAAAGGCAGACCAACAGCCACCATGCTGAGGTTTTTACCCTTTTTGTGAAATGATTGTACACTTGTAAAGCACCTTTCTATGCAAACCAAAGCACTTTCACATGATTTGAACATTCTCACACACACACACACACACACACACACACACGCGCACCGGGAGCAACCTGGGGCTCAGTGTTCTGCTCAAGGACACTTCGACACATGGACTGAGAACCAAACTGACTGAGAGCCGGGAACCAAACCACCGATCTTCTAGGTAGGAGACGACCCGCTCTACCCGCTGAGCCACAGCCGCCACATACCAGTGCAAAGTAAATCAAGCTCAGCTGTTCTGTCACACTTGATTCAACTTCCATCAGTCATTCCTGCACCATCGTGAGCGTGTGAGCTTAGTGCTCACATGCCGACTATAGAAAACTTCAGCCAACACACCCGTGCACACTGTGGTTCCCAGTCAAAGCGACTTGTCTTTTTTAGGCCACCGACCTTTGTTGTCACATATGAAGTGTAAGTGCAATGTGACATTAGAAACATTTACACGGGATCCTGTACATCTCATGCAAACATATATGAAAATCACATTGACTGTGTTTGTGTGACGAGTATTTAATTCATTTGAACTAATTATGGAGGGAAATCCAAACAAATGAAAAACAGCGAGTTTAACTTCACTTCAGGACAACAGATGTTTGAAAGTGTTCATGCATCACCTTCCACGTGTCTCTCGTGTTCTTCGGCTGCAGTTTTACTCTTCTGTTCATGCAGGACATTTAAATCAGCCGTCGTCTCCGTCTTCACCTGACAGGCAGATTACAACAGACTGGACTCAGTGAGGTCACATCAAACTTCACTGGCATTGTGACGAAACACTGATGCCTTCTGTGGACAAACCGTTAACAGCCGAGCAGAGCAGAGACATGGCTCATTAAAACAAGTTTAAAATGCCAGCACTCAAACATTAACAAAAACTAATGTGATTTGTTTCTCTGGTGCCTGCGGGGTCAGAACGAGGACACATTCAAAAGGGCCGTCACGTGACCCAGAGAGGCTGCACAGCTGCTTTCTGAGCCCGACTACGCTCAGATCACAAGGCGGCGTGAAGGAGGTGCTCACTACTTCTGCCAGTGATGATGCACTCACGTGACATGACAACATGCGAGTGTCACAGCCTTCGCTCCTCTGGGTCCAGTCCGTCTACCAGATGTTGAACCAGCTGCTCCTGCACGAGGTTAAAACACTACATGCAGCAACATGTACAAACGCACTCAACGTAATCATACAAAACACACAGTATGTGTTGATACACAGACATGTGTCTATATCTAATATCCACATTCTGAGAGCGCAGCGAAACACGGGGCACTCGGCCGTATCACCACAAACACGTTACTGCGCCGACACGGCTCCGCCTGCCTGCTACCAGTTGTATCCTTGGAACCAGACTCTAGTGGCTTTGCAGCCACTGCCACAGTAATAATGTGTTGTGAATACTCACAAGTGAATTTTCCAAACTGTACAACTGAACGTGTCGTTTACTGTGGGCCATCTTATCAGATAGTTCAAGTCGCCCACGTGCCCCTGAGCTGCATTACCCCCGGCACAGCAGCAAATAACATGGCTCTATGTTAGAGTGCAAGATATACAGTATCTTTAGGTAAACAGTCTGCCGTTCCTGCAGCCACCTCTACTGGAACATCCCAACCCCTAACTCAACTTGAAGCCCGC